CAGGAATAATGTATTTGCAAAACCTCAATGCCTGTTTCTGGCAAATTTGTCTGGGCATCCAAGCTCTTTGTTTTTCTTTTTCCCTTCCTTTTCTCCTGCTTGGCCTGTTGCTATGCTCCACAAATGAGATCTAATCCTGCTGCCATGACTACAGAGCTTTCAGGGGCTCTTAAAAGCAAGCAGCAAGGCTGCTGACATGCTCTGTAGAGGAAGACAGAGCTGTTTCAGACAAGACTTCAAAACCCTGACATCCCCTGCCACTTTTCCTCCATTTTTTGGTGAGTTTGGGGATCCATGGTCCTGCAAAATTTCCACAACTGCCTCCTAGTTCTTTTCTGTGCTGAGAAGGCAGGTGTTGCAAAGCAGCTGAAGGAGACAGAGCAATTTTATCTTCCATCCTGTGTTACCTCATCTTCCATTGTGAAGGCCACAAAAAGGCAAAGCAGCTCCAAGGAGATGAGGGAACAGCCCGTAGCTGTTTGGATGCACATCACAGGCAGAGAGGGAAGCCTGGCTCCCCAGAGCTTTCCAAATCTCTGGGGCTAATTAGTAGGTGCTGCTCTTATCCCCAGCAACTTCCAGTGTGGGAAGTTCTGAAAATGATGCAATCTTCTCAGTGCTCCTTACTTTAATGGCTCTACATCCAAGAATGGATGAAATCCTGAATCATGCAAGATTTCCAGAGGTCAGGCATTCTTTGGATGTTTGTTGTATTAACCTGGAGACCTCTAGAGAAATATTCTCAAGAAGATACTAACACAGACACAAATCTAAAAGGTCATTATACTGAGTATATCAGGAGCCTTTGAAGGAAGCTCTTGCACAAAGAGAGGATCTGGAGCAACTGCTCTGCCTGCATTTATTGACTCTTAAGGACAGCTGGAGTGTCTGCCCATCATTTTATAGAATGCTCCAAAAACGAGTGTGGGTATTGCAGAAACCACCAGTGACAGAAAGAAACAGTTTGAACAGACACAGCAGATGAATGAAAGCACTGAAACAGCTCACGAAGAGCACAGACTAACAGGCATAAAGTTTGGCAGAAGGTAAAATCATTTGACTGAAGAAAATACCCACTAAGTAAAATAGATGTAACAGAGCTGCAGCTTCTCATCTGTGATGATGTGACATTAAGTACGTGGCCGAGACTTGCAAAAGTCATTTGATCTCTTTTTTTATATGGTTGCCAAAAGAAAAAAGGCCTTGTCCTTACCACAGTGTGTGCAGCTGATCCCAGTGGCTGCCCACAAATAAGCCATTGTGACACATGCACCAGTGCTGCCTTCTGGAGCAACTGGTCCAGTCTTCCCACGCTCCAGTGCTGAGTCCAAATGGCAAGTCCACAAATCCACTCCCTCTGTTCAAATCGGCATCCACATGCTCCTACCAGATCTCAGCTGGAGCCCAGCAGTGTGTCCCCAGGGCAGGGCACTGCCTGTGCTTACCCCTCCTGTAGCTGCTCGTTCCCAGACTCCTCAGCCACCAGGATCTCATACTCCTCAGCAGCAAATCTGTCCCAGTCTGAGGGCTCAGGGCTGTCGTTGTCCATGTCCTAAGGAAACCAGACAGTCAAGCACACCATGTCCACACCTCTCTACAGCTGCTTACAACAGGTCTGTGTAACAGCAGTTCTAGGAATATTTAGCAACAGTGTAGAAACAGCTAAGTCAAAAATTACCTTACCCGAAAGATTCACAATTAACTCAAACTATTTTAACATCTACACCTAGATGGCTATGAAAAAAACACCACCACCCCTTAGTCTGTACAGCTCAGGGTGTGACCCAAGCTGCCAACAAGTTGTGCCTGCTTCATTTCAGAAATGCTGAATGTCAAGAGCTGCTCCAGCTCAGCAAGCCCCGTGTCTGTGCACTTTGCCATTGGTTAAAGAACTTAGTGGTTTTAAATCACTCCTTGAATATTAATTGTAAGTGATCTTTGGAGAAACTCCTCACAATCTGCTCGGCTTGGGCAAGTTTGAAAGAAGGTCACAGCATAACATCCTTATGAACATTTGGCCCTCTGCCATTTACTGTAAGATGGGGAAAGTAAGTGACCCCCCCCAGCCCCACTTGGCTGCTCTGATGAGGATCCACTTTAAACAAAGAATCCAAAGTGGAAAGGTTCTGGATTGGAATATATGTAAGCCTTGAATCATAGAACCACAAAGTTCCTCTTAACAGGTGATGTGGGAAGAGCTGGCAGGAACCCAGAGCTGGTTTTGGCATCCCCACCACTTTACTGTGCTGTGACCAGCTAAGAGGCTTCTGGGAGACAGTCTTTAGGCTGTGGACACATCTGGTTTCCCTGGATCTGCAGGGGGAGCCAGAGGTGAGGGGCTCTGGACCAACAGCTGGCAAAACCCAGGTTCCTCAACATCCCACTGTTAGTGGTGAGCAACAACTGTGCAACACAAAAGCCACCATCCCTGCTTGGGAAGAGAGGATGAGGAATGAGAGTGCAGCCAGGCTGGTAACCCAGGCACCACCTACAATATCCAGACCTTCCATCTCAGCAGTCACATGCGTGGTCACAGAGGTGGCATCTCAGCTGCCTCAGCCCTGTGCTGGAAGAAGGTCTGTCTCTGGTTCTGCATCAGCCATGAGGTAATTGCTGTTTTACGGATCAGATTCCAACCTGAATGTCTAATAAAAATTCACATGGAGCCTACACTTCTGACTGCATCATGTGTAGGAGATGGGAAGAGACAAATGGGATCTCAGGTTTTGAATCTCACAGCTCCTTTCTAAACTGAGCAAACCAGGTTGCCCTCTAGTGCAGCTGAGTCCCCTTTTCAGTCAGTGCAGCTCAGCAGGGTCTGGTCACCCTCTAGAATCACACACTGCTCTGCCTGTGCTGCTGTAGTGGGATGGGTGCTGGCAACAGGATCATATAACAGCAGCACAGTTCAGCCTGGAAGAGACCCAGGAGGTCTCTAGTCCCAGACACTGCTCAATTCAGAGTTTGCTGTGAGGTCAGCTCAAGGCTTTGTCCAGGGACATCTTGAAGACCTCCAATATAAAAGCTGCACAACCTCTCTGAGCAACCTGTTCCAGTATTTGACCACCCTCCTTTTGAAAAAGCTTTTCTTCTGCTCAGTTGGATTTTCCTTACATCCAACTGCATTCCAAAGATGGGTTTGAGAAGGCCTGTACTTAGAAATAAAGGTGATTTGTACCTTCTGCACTGCAAAGGGATCCCTCTGTTCATTGTCCAGGTATTTCTCTAAATTGAAGAAGGTGTTGTAGAAGACATGAGCCATTCTGCACCTCTTCAGGTCTCGTAGGGTTACTCTTCCTACAGAAGAAAAACCACCACATGATTGTGCTGCTGAGTTCTTAGTGAGACCTCGTTCCTTGTCACTCTTACTGAAGGTTGATTATAACACCAGTATGCTACAATATTACATTTCTTCCCAAGTCAGTCAAGGATTTTAAGATTATTCAGTAACTGGGTACATTTATTAGGCTTAAATCTCACATACATATGGAGGCCTTTCAAATTCATGTCAAATATGAAGGAATGTGATGAATAGGGATGGTCCAGTTTCATAACCCAGACTGTCAGCACATCCCCCAGCTGGAACAAACAAGATTTGTTTCTCCAGTCCCAGCAAGTTAATTCACAGAGTAGAATGTTGAAGGTTGGAAAGGACCCCTAAGATCATCAGGTTCCAACCCCCCTGCATGGGCAGGGACACCTCCCACCAGACCAGGCTGCACAATCTTCACCCAACCTGCCCTTCAACACTGCCAGGGATGGGGCAGCCACAGCTTCCCTGGGCAACCTGGGCCAGGCTCTCACCACCCTCACAACAAAGAATTTCCTCCTCATGTCTCACCTCAATCTCCCCTCTTCCAGTTTTCATCCATCCCCCCTTGTCCTCTCCCTCCCTGCCCTTGTCCCAAGTCCCTCCCCAGCTTTCCTGGAGCCCCTTCAGGCACTGGAAGGTGCTCTAAGGTCTCCCTGGAGCCTTCTCTTCTCCAGGCTGAACACCCCAACTCTCTCAAGGTCTCTTGAGTGTTTAAGCCTCCAATGCAGGACATCATGGCACACTAGCCACTGTTCACTTGGACCCTGATCAGCAATTTCAGCCCTGTGATTCTAACACACAGACTGGTTTCACAATCTCTACCCATAGATTGGTTTCACAGGGACATGACTTTATCCAGCCACCACAGATCCAAGAGGATGAAAACCCCCACTGAAAAGGACTCACCTTCCCTCTCTGGCTTTACAAGATCAAGCATCTGACACAGCAAGTCATGGAAAGGCAGTGGCTCTATGCCCATCACTTCCATCCGCTCACACTGCTCCTCATAGAAGTGCTCCAGCTCATACATGGAGAGGACTCCATCCCCATCCAGGTCCATGCACCGAAACCAGTACTCAATGCTGGGGCAGAGACAGGACCAGTGAAAGCACAGCCCTGGGCAATCCACACAGACTGCAGCAATGCACATTCCCCTTCCCCCATCCTCTAATGCTCTTCTGCTCCAAGGCTGGCATAAAAATATCCTAGGGAAGGCTCAGGGCACTGGGTAACCCTTGAGAGCACCTCCTGACAGTCTCCCAGGTGGCCTGTGACCACAGCAATGCTGAGGGCCTGTTTCACCTGGCAGCTGTAGCACCTGTCCACTGTGCTGCAGCTCAACTGGCTCATTCCTGCCTCAGTCCCTGCCTGATTCACAGAATCACAGAATATTAGGGGTTGGAAGGGACCTCTGAAGATCATTGAGTCCAACCCAGAGCAAGACCAAAAAAGCCCAGAACAACAACTAGGGCAGGTCACTCAGAAAGGCATCCAGACAGGGCTGGAAAGGCTCCAGAGAAGGAGACTCCACAGCCTCTCTGGGCAGCCTGTCCCAGGGCTCTGTCATCCTCACAGGAAAGAAGTTCTTCCTCATGTTGAGGTGGAACTTCCTGGGCTCCAGTTTGAACCCATTGCCCCTGGTCCTGTCCCAGGGCACAAGTGACAAGAGCTTGTCCCTGCCTTCTTGATGCCCTCATGTATTTATAGACATTAATTAGATGCCCCCTCAGTCTTCTCCTCTCTAGACTGAACAGCCCCAGGTCTCTCAGCCTTTCCCCATCAGGTGTTTCAGCCCCTCCATCATCCTTGTAGCCTCCCTTGGACTCTCACAACTATTTGACCAAACATTGTCAGTAAGTTGCTTTCTTCCTAACCATCCCTGGAACCCAAGCTGCTGACTCTTGTAGAAAGCAGTAGGTCACAGAAGTCTCTCTCTATGATCTTATCTGCTCATCTCAATACTTTTACTACAGCACAGAAGCCAGTCAGACCTTGTAGGGCTCCTTTTGTCTTCCTCTGAAATCAGGAGCCACACGAAATCAGCGTAACTCATGCGGCCTTCCCTCTGAACTGCATTGCCTCTGGAAGACACATGGGAAAAAAACCCCAATCAAACAAACAAAAAAACCCAAATCACCAGGCTCCTAACTCCTCAGAATGTTATCAAACGTGTTTATCAAAACCCCAAATCATTGTCACCCATGTAGCCTGCACTCCCTGCCCTCTGCAGCACCAGTCCCTGCACAGCACCTGCTCCCCCGCTGTCCCCGCACAGCTGAGCCTCATCTCCCACATCCCCTCCCTCCCAAGTGCTGGGCTGGTTTAGTTTTCAGAGACTTCACAGCTTGTTCTACACTGAGCTCTGTAGGTTCTCATCCTTTGGGATTAGTTCATTTGTTTTCTTAAGATACCCAGAAGTCTCACTCCATTTTCAAGCAGCCCCAACTGGGGCACCATGTTGGAAACCATTCTGATTACTGGGGACTTCTGAGAGGAACATTTTTAGTCAGCCTGACAGAAATTCCCTTAGTTCCTACCCCCCACTAGTTTCCCACTCCTCACCTCACCACAGCACCGCTGAATATCCGCTCAATGATCCTGGTTGATAAAGCTGGAAAGAAAGGGAACACAAAGGAAATGAAACTACAGGTCACAGGGATAACTACAACCAGTTGTTTATGCTCAGTCCACACAAAGCAAGTTCCCAGAGCTCTGTCTGCATTGTCTGTCTAGCCACTTGTCTCTGTTTAGCAACATTTTGTAAAAAACAGAGATAATTTCCCCCAGGGGGCTTTTGTGTTCCCCCAGACACCCCATTTCCCCACAAATATGGCAACTATGTGTTATCCAGATTCTTGGGCATAGGCAGTGTCCCTCCTACTTTGCTGCAGCAGGATTTGTCACATAAGCAAGTGCTGCTGATGGCAGCAGGCTATTTCAGTGTGTGCTGCAAAAAGAAAATGAGTTACCGAGCAAAAACCCCACATGAAATCCCTGCAAAACACTTCTTAGCAGAGCACAGGCTGTGGCAACCCTGCTGCAGGGAAGGGCAATGAAAAATGAGCAGTTTCAAGGGAGTGGGAGGGCACTGCCAGCCAGGAAATGTGTGGGATGGACTGTTATGGCAGGGACACCCCAGCCAAGCAAGCACCAGGGTTTGCAGGCTGACCCAAGGTTGCAGACACACTTCCTTCAGACCCCCCTGTAGCTCCTTCTGCCCATGCTCCATCACTGCTGCAGTCCTGCCACGCTCTGACACCCCAGCCAGGCAGACCCCACCTGCAGCACCCTCAGAGCACTGGGCACCAGGCTGCTGGACCCCTTCCCTGCCAGCTCCTCCCCTTCCCCTGCCCACTGCCACCTGCCTTTGTCTCAGCACTCTGGGAGCCTCCTGCTCAAATAAGGCTCCAGCCCCACCCCCCAGCCTCCAAGTCTCCCATGTCACCTACCCCAGGGCAGATACTCCTCCATCCTCACCTCATCCAGCCCTATTATCAACGCTCCTGATCCTGTGACTGCCAGAATTCCCACAGCCTTCCTGTGAACACCCACACTCAGACCTGTGGGCTACCACACCACTCTGACACACTCATCTCTACAGCACTGTCACTCTCTTTCCTTCTTTCTTACTTCAGCCCACTAGGGTCTTGGCTCCTTCAAAATGCTGTCCCCATCCCCAGAGTCCCAGCAATGCCTGACAACCTGTCACACACGCCTCCAGGTCCCTGTAACCCTACAACACCTTACCACACACACCACCTTTCCTGCCATTGTGTCCAAACATCCCATTTCCCCAAGCCTGGTTCTCTGTCCCAGATCTACTTTCCCAAGCAAGTGCAGCAACCACAGAGAACAATCCAAGAAGATTTTGACTTCAGGATCAAACCTGCTGGTCAATACTCTTGTCCAAGACATTACATGAGTGCTGAAGGGCATATCATGCTCTCAGAACATGGGTAATCCTAAAACCAACTGACCTGAGGGCTCCGTCCAGCACAAGCCATACAGAACAACTGCCTTTGGATTTTTCAGCCCTTGGACAACTTGTATTCCATTAACTTATCCATGGCCCTTGAGCCTTTGAAAACTCATAGCATCTGCTAACCTTGTGGAAAGGAGTTCCACAATGAACTCAAGAGATGCTCTCCAGGGTGCATCTACCAGTTGAAATTCCCCAAGCTTCACTGGACTCTGGAATTTCTCTCACGCACAACGAGATTGCACTTCAAGAATCCTTGAAGTCCACATGGGCTTGTCCTTCTGTCCCTACTTCCAAGTGCCCGCAAAACGCTTAGTAGATCAATCATAAGTAAGTTTCAAGACATGGATTTAGCTTGTCCTGGCAGTGACCCACAGGTGAGCAGAAGCAGAATAGTGTGAACTGCACTTCTATGGGTCTGAGCCCTTACACCTGGCTCTGCAAATCAGCATTTGTGTAAGAGATGGATGGCTCCATCTACACATTTTGAGGCATCAGATGAACCAACCTAAACTTAGACTTTGCTCTTTAGTGGAGATGCTCTATTGTCAGCAATCCCTTTGGTCCCAGGGCAGTGTGCAGGCAACATACCTTGATCACTGTACCTAGCCAGGTCCTTCTGGCTGATGTAAAGATCATGGTCAGTGTCCAGCTCCCAGAATTTACAGTATATGACATAGAAGTGCTCGTAGGAAAAATAATCTGTGATCTGATTGATGTCATCTTCTTCTTCCAAGAGAGCAAGAGTCTGAAAGAGCACAAATAAGGTGGGAAGTTAAACCTAGACAAAGAGGCAGTGCAGCAGCTGATCTCCTGACCTCCATGAAAGGTGGGTGAATACAGCTCTGAGAGCTCATTCAAAATGCAGCCTCTCTCCCTGGAGGAGCTTTTGTTGCTGCATTCCCCAACAGGCACTTGGAGAGCATCTGGCTTGGTTACCCTGCTTAGTCTGTCTATGCACAGTATTTCTGCCACCCTTGGGAACAATCTCTGCTTCTTTTCAGCTATAGTGAAGAGTGAGGTAGGCACAAGTGCACAACTGCTACCTCAGTTGGATCCTTTTGTGAAACACCTCTGACCTGCAGCAGAGACTCTTAGAGCCATTTACAATAGCAAGTCCACAGCTCTCCAGAGGAATTGAGATAATCTTTACACATCTCACATCCTTGCCTGGCTCCTGAAGGGCAAATCAAGTCTAGCTCCAGACTCATGCCTGGACTGGGGAAGGAGGGAGGGACCCCAAGCAGACCAAACCAATCACACTGATTTTCCTGGGCTGTCACTGACAGGAATTAATCTGGTATAACTCTGAGGCTCAGACAGATTTTCAACCATGGCATCTGTTTACATGTCTTCCTACAAAACATTTAGTAATCATGTCGTTGTTTCATTCCTGTTTCACATCCACCTTCATCCTCCACCCCCATGGTGGAGGGCACATGTTCACCAGTGCCACCTCCCTGTGTGCCCTTCTCCTAGTGCTGAGGCCAGGGGACACCAGGCAGCTTTTGCAGTCTAATAAATGATGGCTCCAGGACGTGAAAAGCCATCAGGCTCTGGTGAGCTCCAGGTCTGTCCTCCCCTGCCCCAGCCTCTAGGAAGGGAGGAGGTGAGAGCCCAAGAGCTCCCCAGGCGAGCTGTGTCTGAGCAGGCAGGCTTAGTGGCCCTTCCACCCATGACCCTACAAACAGATGCTGTGCTACATGGAGGCCCTGATAGCTCAACATCAACTTGCAGTCATCTCCACAACCAAGGAACCCATCTGAGCCTCAGGAAAACTCCCACATCCCATTAGCCACCAGGTTCAGTGAAATTTCAGGCAGGGACAACAGGATGGCACTGGCAGACCTGCACTTGGTGACACCCAAGTTTCCCTCTGAGCAGTCACTCATTAGCCTCCTCAGATTCTTTGTAGGTCTTTCCATTTCTTTGCAGAGGATAATCACCTGGGGAGGTTTTTCAGTAACTAGTGTTTTTCTTTTATAGCTCATGCCAAAATATGCCATTTACACTTGCAGCAAAGAACTGCCTCAAAATTACAGTCCCAGAGCTGAACTTCCCTGCTGCAGGAGATGAAAGAGAGAGAAAAGAAAGAATACAGATAGAGAAAGATAGAATACAGAATGAGAAGAAGGGAAGAGTGTACAAAGGGAGTAAATGAGTGAATAAAGATGCAGGATAAGTTGGAAGGACGTATTTAAGAGGTTAGGGAGGAACTGGGATCAGAGGGCTTGGGGTGCATGAGCCAATCCAAAGGAACACTGATGTTTTTCATTAGCTGATGTGATCAGTAGGGCAGGAGGTGTCTGAAAGGAGTGTGAACTCATGCTTGAGGAGGACAGCAGACTGCAGCTGTAGATCCTGGCAGAACAGCATGCAGCAGGGAGTTTCACTGCTTTAGCTGAGTCCTTAACCTTTCAGCCTAAAGACCTTCTAGGGCTAGAGTGGAACAGCCTCGGCCAGTTTTATCCTGGTGCTCTTTTGGGCAAAACATACAGAGGCCAGAGATTCAAATCCTGAAATTTCTGCCCAACATAAGGATACACCACAGGGTTTGTAACAAGAACTAAGCTCCCCTCATGAACCTTTCTGCAGAGTGGAAATCAGCTCCTGAGATGCAGGATCTCCCCCTTGTGCAGCACAACATGCCTGACCAATTGGCAGTGGCCAATTGCTGGTGGGGAGCCAGGAAAATGGCTGTCCAACCCAGCACCTGCTGTGGGCAGCCCAGCAGCTCTTCTTTGCTGCTCCTCAGCCACCCAGCACAAGTGCACTGCTGAGTCTTGCTTGGCCTCTTCTTCAGCTCCACCAGGAGCCAAGAGCCAATCTGCTCCATGCAGCTTCAGAGCTGGTGCCAGGCAACCTCCCACCAGCACCCTTCTTAGCTACTGCAGTCCCTGGGCTTCTCTCACCTCCAGACAGAACTCTGCCATTCACTCCAGCACTCCCTGGCAGTGAGCATTTGCCCTTCCTCCCAACAAACCAGGCACAGCTCCCTGGCACAGAGTACACAGCCAGAGGAATAAAGGTGTGATGTGTCTGCATCTTGTCCTGGCAGAAACTAACGTACCTGCAAGAAGTTGCTTTTCCTCAGCTCAGTCAGAGTGATCTTCCCAGACCAGGATCGATTGACTGTGTAGAATATTCTCTGTATCACCTGCAACACAGGAACAGTGCTCTTGAAATCAACTCCTGAAATACACCAGTTTGGGAATTTAAATGCAGCAACTTCATTTTGTCTATTCACTCATCCTAAGGAACTTACTTTTGAGAACTCTTTTGTACATACTGCTCTCCTTAGCTCACTGTGCAAACTGAAAGTAACACTTGTTTCCGGAACAGAATTATCCATTTCCACTTTGCAAACATTTTCACTGATCTGAAAATTCACATCCTTGAGCATGCAGATCATTATTTATGTCAGGGAGTATGTTCAAAGTGCAGTCAACCACTTTGAAACTGAGTTTTTCAGGTTTTGGATACTGCAGCTTGCATGGATCTCAACTGAACTAGTGTCTGCATCAGAAAAAAGTCAGGACTTTTGAAGGGGAAACAGGACATGTAAATGAAAGCCACAATTGCTGTCTGACCGATTGTGTCTACAACAATGCCTCATTCTCTTGGTGGCTCCACTTTAAGTAAGCAATAGAGATTATCTGTCTGCATTTATCTTCAGTAGGTGTTAACCTCATTTGTCTCCTTTACTCATCTGCCCCTGGTGAAAGTGAGTGAAAAGCCTGGGGGGAACACGGGCTGGTGAGAACCTAGAAGAAGTGGTTCAGAGTGAGACTGAGAACACTCCCAAGCACCTGAGGAAGGCTGAGCCCTTCCTAGTCTGCTCAGGGTTGGCTTGTCAAGTATCAGAGTGGGGAAAATGCCCAAAAGCAAATGCAAGAACAAACTTAACATGGGAAACAACAACAAATAAACATCTCCAACAAGAGCAAGTAGAGTTACAATAAATTTCACTATCAGCACTGAAAACGATGGAATACAATTCTTGTTGACCAAACCTCATCCAAGCAAACTTCTGATGTCTCTGACATACTATCCTAGAATTCTGGTAAATCTTAACAGTGCATGTTATTCCAACATGAAAATTAACTTTACACAACAATATGGACATCACAGGAATTAACTGGGTTAACAAATTAAATGGAATGGGTTTATTTCTTAGCTAGAACAAGCTTCACATCGGCAACCACAATTTAAGGGCCATGCCTGGACTCAGTCACATCTGTTCTTAGCCCAGAACAGATCAAGAACCAAGCACAAGACTGTTGCCAACAGTCTGCAGTAACTGCTGATGGGCACAAATAAAATTGAGAGCAACAGGAATGATTTGAGGACTCAAAATGTATCCTGAAGAGAGCAGGTATCTTCAGTTTAGCTGAGCATGACACCTACAGGTAGCTGTCCTGGTTCTTAGAAGTCTGCATGGGGAGATGAGGGACAGCAGGAGGACTTTTTGTCTCCCATGAAACACAAAACTAGAAGCTGAAGTCAGCATAATTCAGACAAATAAGAGTGCATTTCTTCCACACTGCCATTGATTAAGCACTGGGACAAGTCCCAAAGAAACACTGTAGGCTCTTTACCACTCCAGACTTCAAAGATGGATGTCCTTCTTAAGTTGAATGTCAATTCAGTTAAAAAAAAAAACAACAACAAAAAACCCCTTCTATCCCACCTACAGCAATCCCTAAGCAATGTTCTATGGCCTGTAAGAGGCCAGACTAGGTAATCACAATGATCTTTTCTGGTCTTAAGCACAATGAAGCAGCTGTTTGTTTCTTCTTTAATGTCTCTGGCAGCCACTGCCATTCTGGACTATTTTTGGACTTTGTTTGGCCTTTGCTTTCAGACTGCAAAACAGTTCAGAGACTGGAGTGGGTCTCACCTCATATATAACCTATTATCACACCTGTCAACTCTGCAGCAATTCTAAGATACAGGATTTTCACACCATCCCAAAGACTCAAAAATACAATCCCAAGAACCAGCAATCTTTTTTCTTTTCCTCTGCCTGCAAAGCAATAAAAGACTATGAAATATCCTCATTTGTGATGTGTAAGAAACTGTTTCTATGACAGGCTATTTGATAAAAGATGTTCCACCTGCTCTTTCCTCACCTAGATGTGAAAAGAAGGCATTCAGAAGTAAAACAGGATCTCTTTTAATCTCTTTTACCATGTCCAGTCACTCAGTTCAGGCTTTACTATTCAAACAATGGTCCAGTTTCAATGAATAGTACATGGTGCATATACATCAGTATAAAATACCAATAATTCTCTCTTTCCTTTCCAGTTTGGGAAAACCAAAGTGTCAAAAAAAGCATTTGGGAAACACCCCAGAACATAATCACACAGGCAGAGATGATTTGCAGCATTCAAACCACACTTGTCAGTTATGCCTTACTGAAAACCTTAACTGGCTTCGTTTTGAGCCAGCATGGAAGGTTATTGAGCACAGCTTTGGAAGGGGGAGCCCCTTCCTATTTGACCATGATCCTCATGTAATGTACCTTCAGGACTCAAACCACTGATAGGTCAGTTCTAGACCTTTCCCAGTCTTCCCATAGAGGAACAGAAGCACAGAAAAACCCCACAAAGCTTTATTAAACCCTGTAGGCCACCCTCCTCTTACACACTTGCATTGGTGATACTGCATAAGCTGAAGCACTTTTCAACAAGTAGAATATTTTGCCAAGCTGTTTTTAGCTGACTCAGCTTTTTGACAACAGCATACAGTGCTAACTCTGAGCCTTGTTTGAACATTTTGGGAGAAGGCCCATTTTAAAGCTTTGACAATAAATGCCATGTGATATTCTTCATCTTCTCCAGCTCCAGGAGTTGGTCTCTGTGGAAAGAAACACAAGTAGTTTAGGATAGTGGCAATGCAGTCAGCTCACAGAGCCTGACACTGATTAAATTACAACCTATTGTATCCAAAAGGCACAATCTATCTAAATCTATCCAGAGGTAGGCAAAAAAAAAAGAAACATGCGCACACATCTTACCGTACTAGACAGCTGGCTCTCCAGGTCATCTCCACCAACTGATGCTGTACCCAGCACTGAACACAAACCCAGTGTCTCCTTATGGCCCTCACCTGTAACACAAAACCAGAGTGTAATTCCTGCCTTTGCAGCAAATAGAGCTTTCTGTCACTGTTAGCAGATGTAAGGCACTCTACCTTGAAGGCATCAAAAGGATCCACGTGGTCTCAAAATCCAAGGACAAAGCTGTTTCCTTCATTACTTCCTGGTGGAAATACTGAATTTTGTAACATTAAAGAGAGAGAAGCACTGAACTGCCTGTGAAAGATGTGAGCAACAGGAACTCCTGGTGTCAGAGAGGAGAGCCACTGCCCCAGGGGGCCCAGAACAGCCACTCCAGATGGAAATAACATGACCTAACAGACTGTCTCCCAAGGTTTGACTCGGCTCCAACTCAGTGATCAGGCCAAGGCCAAACCCCCTGAGCTCAGAAGGGATCTGTCTGTCAGCACAGACACCCAGAACAACATTGTCCTGTGAAGAGCATCACAGCTTTGTAGGAATGGCCACTACACACCCTTTACCTCGACCACCAGCACCCACCTCCTGCTGCAAGCCTGGGGAGCCACCTGTGTCAGAGCACTGTGAGTATGGGTGCCAAATGGCTCAGATGGATGTAGGAAAGCACAAGCAGTTACACAAGCAGGTCCAAGAAACACTGAGGAGGTTCATGTTCTCATGAAGGGTCCGTTTCTGTGACCACTTCAAGGTCGTCACACAGAACTTCAACCAGGCACAAGGGAAGTTGTGGAAAGGGAGAGAGGAAGGAGAAGGTGCTGCATTTTCAGTAGCAGTCTGCACTTCAGTTGTCTTGAAGCTCCACACCGCTGGTCTCTGAGATCAGAACATGCACTTCACCCTGATGAGGTCCAGAAACTGCAGCAATTTCTGCTCTGGGATACCAGGTGTGATCATTTAAGGGATTACTCTGCAAAGGCATTTGTTTCCTGCCTTTACTCCCTCCTTTAGACCCCAAAACACACAGGAGCAGCACATGACTTGAGAAAGGAACCTGTGAAGGCAGATGCACAGAACTGCCTTTGTCACCACCCAGCAGCCACCAGGACAGCCATGTGCTGGATCTCGAGCCACTCCCTGGCAAAGAACAAGTGGTTGATATTGCAGTCAGAAACCAACACCAGTATGACCTTACACCTTTCAGCTCTGCCCGCCCCCCCATGTACTTTAAACACCAAATACCTGTGCCACGGGCACCTTCCACACTCACCCATTCATGCACCTCCATAAACCCCTGGCCATTGTCACTCCTACTCTGGCCAGTCACCACACACAACTGATCTGTTGTCTTGCTCCCTGGGTACTGAACGCGTTGATAATGCACTGATGTTCACTGCCACCTTCTAGTGCATCTAAACACTTAAAATGGACTGTAGTTGCACATTTTCATGAAACATGAGTGTGACGGTTCAGGATTTGCCTAGAGCATCAGGCTGCCTTTCTGCCACCTGCTCCTTCCAAGCAGGAACAAGCCCATGTCTGCCAGCCACCTCCCAGCTGCCAGTGTGTGGCCCCCATGCAGACGCTGGCAAGCAAACAGCACAAAATTTAAACCCTTGAGCCCTGCTGGGATACAGCTCCCATCAGGTCTGTCATTATTTGGATTTGTTACCACTGCAGATAAGACATCCTAATAGTTATACCTTTAATCCAGATTCACACCCAACATGAGACTAGCTAAAGGCTTAAAAAAAGTACAAACTTATTCAGGTAAAGCACCAGTCTAACTGCAGAGTGTGAGCAAAGATACAGAACCAAACCCAAGAACAAGCAGTGGTCACAAAAGCTCAGAGACCCAGAAAGACTAGTCAGGCTTTCTGGCCAGGGCAAGAGGCAGGTGAGTCAGACAGCAGACTCCTGCATGCAGAGGATGCTCCAGATGTGGAAGTGACAGGAATCTTCCAACATACAGTGTTCCATGTCTCAGCAGCCCAGCAAAAATGAACAGCTCTTAAAACAACAGAGGACCTCTCATTTTCCTGCATCAGGATGAAAGGCCAAAGGAATTGCTGTTATCCATTTGCTTAAGACCAGAAAGTATCATTATTCACCTCTCGTGCACACAGGCAGACTCATTTTTCCTTTGGAAGTTGTCCTTAAAATAACTAATTGCCAGGAATATTAAAAACACCTATTTAAAAAAAAAACCTGCAGGACTGGCTGATGTGACAAATGACAAGGGGAGGGTTGGTGCAGCAGTGTGACAGGAGATGGAAGGGGCCAGCCTACCGTCGTGATGTACCGGGAGTGGAACTCCGGAGCGTCCTTCAGGAACGTCAGGCCAGGATGCGTCTCCACCACATCCTGCAAGGCAAGGCCAAACACAATGAAACAGGGTTTCTTCCCCTTTAAAACATTAAGAAGTTACTGGGTTTGAAAACCAAAACTTGTGCTCACTTTTGAAGCTGTATTTGCAGCACTAACAATAACATGTTATGAACATGAACGTAACATGAAATGACAACTTGGTGTCTATCAAGGGAGCCTTGGAGAAGGAGAAGCAGGACACACCTCCTGGGCAATATGCACCTGCTGGGCCATTTTGAATTACTTAAGGACAGAAAAACACAGAAGAGAGTTAGTGAGTAGATGAAATCCCATTTTCATTGAACGAGACAAAAAATTAGTTAGCTGACCATGCAACTATCTCCTCTCCAAGATTTTTTTTCTTCTCCATTTATTTAAGATATTAGAACTTTGTGTCAGAAATAAGTATTCCTTGAAAGGTTAAGAAAGTTGCCTTTTTTGTCCTCCACAACAATGAAAGCTCTTATGAACCCCAGAATACATGCAGGTGTGATCCATGTTTTTCCAATCTTTACTTGAACTCCCCGGGGAGATGCCTCTTCCTCAAGATCAGCATTTGGCTCATGATGCCAAATCTGCCAGGAGGTGCATGACTGAAAACCTGGAGAAGCTGCTCAGATCCTGTGTGAATGAACGTCTGTGTAGTTTCTACACGTCTGACTCCTCTACTCTTAAAAAAATCAACCCAAAGTAGTTTTCAAAGATCTGCTTTTTGCACACCATGACAATATGTCCTTGTGATAGCAAGGACAGTGCAGACACAGTGCCTGTAGGGGTGTGACATGACCAGATTTTGGCCAGTCTAACTTGATTTCTAATATGATGGTGAAATATGATGCAATATTTCTAGTCTCTGGGTGACTGACACACAAGACTGTACATGCCTTTGATTGCACCAGTAGCTACAAAGCAGAGCTGTTATCAATCAGGAAAGGCATTGTGCCCAGTGGAGAAAAGGTTAAGAAGAACATGAGAAAGTTGACCCATCACAGTCCTAGTTTTGTTTGAGACACAGGAATACCCAGGGCAGACACAAAAATCTTTCCCCAACAAAAGGCTCTCCACAGAGGTGTTGCAGAGAGGGTAACATAGGGTAAGAAACTGAGGGATATGTGGAAAAGCTCTGAAAAATATCAACAGATGATCAGAGGGACCTGATTTCTAGAGAAACCACAAAGAAAACCTAAACCTAACCAGAGCATACCTCAGTGGCCACAAATAATGACATAATGGTGCTTTGCTTTGTTAAAAATACTATATGTGAATAAAAGGAAAAGAAATGAAATCAGGATGCACAGATTTAGCCTGAATGTAAGGGGAAAAAACCTCCAATCAGCAGTGAGACTGGTGTTCTAGCACTTACAGAACAATTAGAACTACAAAATCTTGTGCAAATATTTCCATGTCATATTTGAACTGGTAGACTTGCTAGAGAAATTAAATTGTAATTGCCTTGTCAAGCAACTTTTACAACTTTTCTAATAAGCTTTGATGCTGTGCTGAAGTGTCACCAGCACCATCTATTTTTCCTAATGACCACCCAGAAAAATGGGGCAAATTTCAGCCTGGTTACCAAGCACTGATAAATACAAATCCTTCCTGACAAGAGACAAGAGACCAAATAAAGCTTGTACAATCCTCAGCAACTGTAGTAAGATATGTAGCTGGTTGGCACTTATGCAAAATAGTCCACTTAAAATGCTTATTTCTATTTCACCCCAAAATAAAGCCCACCCCAGTGCTGTTTGAACCAAAGGTCCACAAGGCCATAGGTAAACAGTTACAGACATGAAAATAAATAAGTTGTAAAAGAAACATAGTGCTCTCCTCATCCACCCACTGCTGAGGTGGTGCAGTTACCTGAAGGAGAGGGATGAAGTCCTCCTGCTCTAGGTAGTCACAGCCAGGCTTTGCTAGAAGGTGTGTGAACCTGGATGCATCATCGTGGCAGTTATGAAGGACTCTAGGAGAGAGATGAAGTGTTACCTCAACTGGACCTCACAGGACAAGCCAAACTGCAGATGGGTTACTGATTGCCTTGTTACAGGTCACACAACACATCCACACTGTGAAGCATGCAAAGCTGACCTCAGGCTAGCAGCACCCATTTTCTTCAGTATCTTCAGCAACACCAAGGTACTTCCATGCAGTGGAACTTTTTTTTCTTGTTAACATGGCTGTGGTAAACAAGGTTTCTCACAGGCCTCTCTCTGGAGACTGTTCTTGCTTCCACAGCATCTTAGTAAGTAACCTGACTTTTCAAAATGCTGCATAATGACTGACCTCATCTGCAGTCACTAGGACAATATGGGAGGCCATAACAGACAGGCTCTCCAATTTAATCCTTTACTGTATTCCAGTATTTGAGGATGTTGCCAAATTACAGTGAGTACATTTTCAACCAGAAAAACTTCTCCAGAAGGGAAAAGGGAGCAATCCTTGTTAGCGTTGGCCCAGCAGGCTGCTGTGCAGGGAAGTCATGGAGAACAGCTTGATGAGAAGAATAGTAGGATCAGTATTTAGACAAGCATGTAAACTCAATTCTTTGGCTTGACAGTTTGCATCTGTGACACCAGAGCTTGTCGCTGTCTTCTACTAAAACAAGCTCTGGTAAAGTATCACAATTACTAAACTCCAAACAGACTCCAAATGAGATCAGTGAGCATGCAGCCTTCTGAAAAGTCAGGCCTCCTACTAAGACACTTGAAAACAGGCTTCAGCAGTTAAAGGTAACTGTTTTACAATTACGGCTGTGTTCAGTCTAGCTTCACCAGCAACACTACATTTATTTGGTTGTCATGTTCCCAGAAAAAAAGATGCACAGCCTTCAGAGGGAAAGA